AGTTGCATAAGCACTGTTTCTGAGAACTGCTGTACATCTGTGTTATATGGAGTCAACCAACTTCTGGCACCTGTGAACAGGTATTCCAGCCCAGGATGATTGGACTACATTCCACAGTTCTTCTCTATTTCTTGGTTTTGCCTCAGAAACTGCATTTTTGATGTCACCCCACAAGTTTTCTATTGGATTAAGATCCAGGGATTGGGCTAGCCACTCTATAAAGTCAATCTTGTTGGTCTGGAACCAAGATGTTGCACGTTTACTGGTGTGTTTGGGGTCGTTGTCTTGTTGGAACACCCATTTCAAGGGCATTTCCTCTTCAGCACAAAGCAACATGACCTCTTCAAGTATTCTGATGTATTCAAACTGATCCATGATCCCTGGTATGCGATAAATAGGCCCAACACCGTAGTATGAGAAACATCCCCATATCATGATGCTTGCGCAACCATGCTTCACTGTCTTCACAGTGTACTGTGGCTTGAATTCAGTGTTTGGGGGTCGTCTGACAAACTGTCTCCGGCCACTAGACCCAAAAAGAACAATCTTACTTTCATCAGTCCACAAAATGTTGCGCCATTTCTCTTTAGGCCAGTCAATGTGCTCTTTTGGCAAATTGTAACCTCTTCAGCACATGTCTTTTTTTCAACAGTGGGACTTTGCGGGGGCTTCTTGCAGATAGTTTGGCTTCACATAGGCGTCTTCTAATTGTAACAGTACTCACAGGTAACTTTAGACCTTCTTTGATCTTCCTGGAGCTGATTGTTGGCCGAGTCCTTGCCATTTTGGCTGTTTTTCTATCCATTCAAATGGTAGTTTTTCGCTTTCTACCACATCTTTCAGGTTTTGGTTGCCATTTTAAAGCATTTGCGATCATTTTAGCTGAGCAGCCTATCATTTTCTGCACTTCTTTATATGTATTCCCCTCTCCAATCAACTTTTTAATCAAGGTACGCTGTTCTTCTGAACAATGTCTGGAACGACCCATTTTCCTCAGAATTTTAGAGAGAAATGCAATGTAACCAGCATGTACAACATTTGCTGCCTTCCTTCCTTAAATAAGGGCAATAATTGCCACTTGTTTTTCAAAGAATGAATGACCTCACTAATAGAACTCCACACTGCTATTATTTTGAACATGCCCCTTTCAATTAGTGATTCAATTACACAGAATCAGCAGCATGCATGTCATGACTGTTGGGTCTGTTGGATTTCTATTACTCTACTACACCTGCTAGTAAATTTTTTGCCATGTAGAAATATAATTTCTACCAAAAACAGTGATTGATCAGGTTAGTGATGTCTGACTGCTATTATTTTGAACACAACTATAAATGCTACTAGATCAAAAAAACATAAAAGTCCTTTGTTATAAATTAATTAAACTAAGTCCAATTTCTTAAATATGTGCCACTACTTTGTGCCAGATCCAATTACATTCAGTGACTGTACCGCCACTGCATAGTACTGTATTCTCAAAACATTTAATAAACTCTTTAAAATTGATCAATATGCACTCATTTGTTCCAGGTGCTAGATCACACCAAATATACACAGCATGTATTGTAAATCCGGCAATCTTGTGCAATAACGTCTCACAGCTATATGAATAACGCACTTTACTGTTTCGATGAACATTGTGATGTCATCCAAAGGTCCTGCCCCTACGAGTTTCTTCACCACACACGTGACTTCTTATGATAAAACACCTGAAGAAGTCTCATGTAAACAGTAAAGTGGGGTATTCATGTTGCTATGTGAATGCTAGATGGTCTTCATTCCATTTTCCTTAAAGCAGAGTTCCACTCACACTGTAAAAAAGTCTGACTTATAAAAAGCAGCCATTCAGCTGTCCCATAATCCCGCGGTGTCCTGCCCGCAGCCTGTTTCACTAGCCATCCTGTGTTCCAGGCTCCTCTTCAGTGCGGGCACCCACACTTCACAGGTCTTCACAGCCTGGTTCCCACTGCGCATGCACAAGTAGCGCTGTGCTTCCTGAATGGCCCTGTAGTCTTCTGGGACCTGTCACGTGTTCCAGAAAACTACGGGGAGTGAAGGTAGGAGGACTTCTGCTTCCGATTGCCTATGTGATCACAGCAGAAATGGAAGTGGGTACCTGTCAATTTCGAGTACCCTCTCCCCAAAGGTGCCAATCCTTAATGAGGAGCGGGGGGACCAGTCTTTAAAGCAGAACTTCCCCTTTTGGGTGGAACTTCGCTTTAACATAGAGATGTCAGCCAACACACCAGAAACAGAGGGTCTTCATCAGAAGAAAGGGAATGTCAACTATCTGCTTCACAAGATTCCAGAAATTGAAATACTGGATCTCGCATACCCTAATTTAAACTGTATATTTGTTTAATGGTAAATAATAAAAACAATTATGCCATGTATATTTGTAGATAGAAAAAAAATGTGTCTCCAAAGTAACTATGGTTTAAATAGGCATATATTCAGCCACAAAAAACTGTTATTCTGCATTCAATCCGTATATGAAATATACTATTCAGTTTTTCATTTTAGTATTCTAATCTGTCAATTTGCAAACACCTAATAGTTATATAGGATGGTTAATAGAATACCTCCAATGGTTTTTAAATAGCTTGCTAGTTCACAAGTATGTGGGTTTTTACAACTCAAAGCAAACCCATACATCCTGCGGGCTAAACAGATAAACACTAGCAAATTCCTTGACCCACACAAATAAGATGGCTGGAGGAATCCCCCCATCGGGACATTATATTCTGATAACGACACTATTATGAAAGTGGGTTTATCTCACAACCATACCCTATTTTCTACTTTGCTAGCAAGTTAGATTCCATGATACACTGTATTGCCAAAAGTATTGGGACACCCCTCCAAATAATTGGATTCAGATGTTCCAATCACCTCCATGGCCACAGGTGTATAAAACCAAGCACCTAGGTATACAGACTGCTTCTACAAACATTTGTGAAAGAATGGGTCACCCTCAGGAGCTCAGTGAATTCAAGCGTGGTCAGGGCCGTCTTTAAAGAGGGGCAAAAGGAGCAGCTGCCCTGGGCCCAGTCATAGTTGTGGGGCCTAAAGCAGCTGCTCCATACTTGACAACTGTCCCAGTTCACATTCCCTTGTCCCTTGAAGTCTTCATCCCATACTGTGTCCCGATATCTAAGTGTAAATGCTGTTACTTATGCTGCCCAGTTCTGCCCTATTGTCATGACTCACATGCAGAAGGTGTCAGCATTCACATGTAAATCACTGGCATTCATATGTAAAAAGAGGAAGGTTGCAGCATTAATATGTAAATATCAGTGGCATTCATGTGTATGTTATGCCCCCTCTGAGGTTCCAGCCACCATCACCTCTGTTGCCCACTGAGGAGGTAAACCGGGCATGCTTGAAAGTCCTACCTGCAACTGTGGTCACATCAGCCTGTTCTACAAAAGGTAAGCAAAGTGTGTGTATGTATATAGAGGTAGGCAGAAAAGGAATTACAGTTTCGGGTGCACAGGTGAGCAAGGAGGAGATGTACAGAGATGAGGAAGGAAGGAAGGTGCAAAGATGAGCAGAGGAGGCATGTGGAGTTAAGGTGTGTGGGGGGGGGGGGGGGTGTTAGAGTGAAGAGGATAGGGGAGGTTTGGGGTGCAGAGGTTAGCAGGTGTCGGGTGATGTCAGGAAAGTGATTTTGCATACATTCCCGACATGCACAAATGTGAACATAGGCTAAATGTCCCAATTACATCAGTGGTCAGTGTATATCTTCTCATTACATTGGCGCTTGGTGTAGAATCCTTTCAATGACACTAGTGGTCAGTGTGAATGTCCCCCTTACATTGTTAGTCAGTGTAAATCCTCACTTTGGTTGTCACTGTGAATGGTCCTTTTACATTTGTGGTAAGTGTAAATCCCCATTACATTGGTGGCCACTGTAGAAACTCCTCTTTATATTGGTAGTTGGTTAAAAAACTCTAACTTGCATTTGTGGTCAGTGTCATATCCTCTTTTATATTGGTGGTCCATGTAGAAGCCTTCCTTAAATTGGTGGTCAGTGTAAATTTCTCCTTACATTGGTGGCCAATGTAGACATGTATTGGTTGTTGGTGTAAAGTCCCCCATTACATTGGTGGTCAGTGTAAATTTCTTATATTGGTGGTAAATGCAGAATTGCCCTTACACTGGTGGTCAGTGTAGATTCCCGCTTACATTGGTGATCGATGTAGAAATGTTACCACCCATCCCCTTCCTTGCACTGCCACTGACCCCGTCCACCCCAAGCACTGCCACTGATCCCATCCCCCCAAGTACTGCCACTGATCTCATCCCCTCACCAGCACTGCCACTCATCTCATCCTCCCACCAGCACTGTCACTCATCCCTTCTGTCCCACCACTGCCACTGATCTCATCCTCCCTACCACTACCACTGATCCCATTAAACTCTCAGCACTACCACTGACCACACCCTCCACCCAGCACTGCCACTGATTCCAGGAGTCCTAGAATCCTTAGGAGTTGTCTATTAGTGGGTCCCCTCACCTTCCCAGTCCATGGTGTACAGTGCAGTGAGGAGATGATATGCTGTAACCTTCAGCAACCAATCAGTAAGTTGTAATGATGTGCTGTAACCTCTAGCAACCAATGGGTGAGCAGTTATGATGTGCAGTAAGCTCTAGCAGCCAATCAGTGAGCAGTAATAATGTACAGTACCCTCTAGCAACCAATCAGTTAGTGGAAATTATGTGTAGTAACCTCTAGCAACCAATCAGTGAGCCATAATGTGTGCTGTAATCTCTACCAACCAGTCAGTGTGCTGTAATAATATGCTGTAACCTCTGGAAACCAATTGCAATTGCTGCCTGATCTCCTAAAGAAGCTGATTTTGAATCTAGCTGCTATTTAATGTATGTCTCAGAGCAGGTGGAGAGCAAAATTACATGGGGGGGGGGGGAAAAGAAAATGTTTACCCAGGGTCCAATCAATATTAAAGACAGCCTTGAACGTGAGTACTACCTTGGCAAAAAGTCCACGCATGAAATTTCCTTGCTACTAAATATTCCACAGTCAACTGTTGGTGATATTATAACAAAGTGGAAGCAACTGGGAACAACAGGAACTCAGCCACGAAGTGGTAGGCCACGTAAGATGACAGAACAGGGTCAGCGCGTGCTGAAGCGCACAGTGTGCAGAAGTCACCAACTGTCTGCAGAGTCAGAAGTTAAAGACCTTCAAACTTCATGTGGCCTTTAGATTAGCACAACAGTGCGTAGAGAGCTTCAAGGAATGGGTTTCCATGGCCGAGCAGCTGCATCCAAGCCTTACATCACAAAGTGCAATGCAAAGCATCGGATGCAGTGGTGTAAAGTACGCCACCACTGGACGCTAGAGCAGTGAAGATGTGTTCTCTGGAGTGATGAATCACGCTTCTCTGTCTGGCAATGAACATGTCTGGATTTGGCAGTTGCCAGGAGAACGGTACTTGCCTGCCTGACTGCATTGTGTAAATTTTGGTAGAGGGGGGATTACGGTGTGGGGCTGATTTTCAAGGGTTGGGCTTGGCTCCTTAGTTCCAGTGAAGGGAACTCTTAAGGAGTTAGCATACCAAGACATTTTGGACAATTCATGGTCGCAACTTTATGGGAACAGTTTGGGGATGGCCCCTTCCTGTTCCAACATGACTGCGTACCAGTGCACAAAGCAAGGTCCATAAAGATATGGATGAGTGAGTTTGGGGTAGAGGAACTTGACTGGCCTGCACCTCAACCCAACAGAGCACCTTTGGGATGAATTAGAATGGAGACTGCGAGCCAGGCCTTCTTGTCTGACATCAGTGCCTGACCTCACAAATGCGCTTCTGGAAGAATGGTCAAAATTCCCATAGACACACTCCTAAACATTGTGGACAGCCTTCTTAGAAGAATTGAAACCAGGTGTGGACTGACCATTTGGAAACTCGGGCACTGCCCGAGGGCCCGGGGTCAGTAGGGGGCCCCATGAGATGCCCCTGGTACCTTTGTTATAGGCTTTTTTAGTTTGGGCAAGGACACAGGGGCCCCATGATCCCCTATTGCCCGGGGGCCCCATGAGTTGTCAGTCCGCCCCTGGTTGAAGCTGTTCTAGCTGCAAAGGGTGGGCCAACTCAATACTGAACCCTATTGGGATGCCATTAAAGTTGTGCGTGTAAAGGCAAGCGTCCCAATACTTTTGGCAATATAGTGTAGAGCCCAAGCCTTCTAAACACTTTATTTGGCTATATTTGATTAAATCACACTTTTTGATAAACATTTTCTTTATGGGACCCTACCATCTGGTCAGTCCTGATAAAATGTGATGATTGGGAGGTATAGGATCAGCTTTAGAGGCCTGTGGAAAGGAAAGGAGTATTCATCTGCAGGAACGGTTTAAAATTTTACCAAAAATTTAATGATTTTTATTAAACAAATGTACATTTTATAAAAAAATTAACAAAAGTAATTTTTCCCCTGTCTTTATAACTTTGACTTAGCAACACAATGCACATCTGAGAAATTATAAGTAATCTCTAAACACAGCTTTCTCTAAAGCATCATCTACATTCATATATTGTGCGTGTGAGGGGTAATTAGTGCAGTCATATCGTCCAGAGGTTCTGACGTGTTCAAGAAAGTCTGGAATCCCTGGATAAACAACATTGTCAGCCAGCAAAACAGAGCCTTCCTTCAGCAAGCGACATTCCTGAAGAATGTAAAGAGAAATAAAGGAAAAGAATACATCAACAATTATAATTACAAAATGTTTATCCCAAAAGCAAACAAAGGCAGATCTTACGTACCATGTTCTAAGGTTGCCAGCCCAAAATGTACATGCACATCGAAGAGCCCTGGTAGGCTTTAAGTTCCAAACTATTTCTATTTTATAAATTAGTTTTTTTTTAACTTTTTACTTAATTTTCTAATGGCACATACTGCATATTATGTGTCTAAAGTGCTTAACTTTTAAATTTTTTTAGTGTCTGCTCTTTTATTAGTATTATTTTTTTGGGATGGTATATAAGACAATTGAGGCCTGGATGTCATTTTTGACAATTGCTTAAGGCCTTGGTTGAAATATGTTTACGATTTGATTACCAAATACATTTTTAAGCTTGTTTTTTATATTGACGGAACTCCTAATTTAACCTCAGACATGAAATATGAACAAAGCATATCCCTCTATAGTGTTTACTTGTCTCAATTAAGAGCACTAAGTGTCATTTCTGTCTGCTGCTTCCTTCCTCTGCTATCATCAAGAATCACTTCTGACAAGTTTTCCAGACACCAAGAGAAAAATGGTGATAGGGGAGGGAGCTCCAGCAGATTGACAACCTCAGCTCTGTTCCTGTGAGCTGTGTGAAGGGGGGGCGGGGTGTCTCTTCCCTCCAGTCAGATCTCAGAGCTCTTCAGAGTGTAATTTCAGCTCTCCACCCCCTTTTTTCTGAACCCTTAGACAAGCTTTATGAATTTAGCACCTTGAAGGGATGTAGATAAGAGAAGACTGAAGATAGACATGTACAATCTATGTAAGAGGATTTGTTTAATTTCTATCACCTGAGGCCAGTCACTTCACTGGGTACATATATGGATTTTAATCGCTTTAATACAAATATACCCTGTGATGAATTTGCATTAACTTACTCATAATATAGTGACAAACTTTAATAACCTGCACATCTATACATCATCATACATGTAGTGCCCATCTCCAGAGGGCTCACTGATTTGCGCTAGGTTCTTTTCCCCAGTCAGTGTAGGGTCAGCCAAGCGCATAGTAATAGTCACTCCTTCTGGCAAGAGCAGTCTATGGAGTGCTTTTTTACATGCCTTATTGCAAAATTAAACTTTGATAGGGAGACGGGAGCTGTGGAATAATCCAGCAATACTAGAAAGCAATAAGAGGGCACTCACTTTGTAAAGCTTCTTAATTCAGTCTCTATAGTAGCAACTAAGGGAATGTGCAACCCTGAGACGTCATAAGAAATGTCCCAGTTTGAGCAAGCTCTGGCTCTGATGCTCAAGGGATAGTAGCAGCAAACAGTCACTAGAATCCTACACTCAGGTCTGTACTTACAATGTCCCTGGATACTTGGATGTCTCCTTTCAATGTTATCCAGACATTTCTCCTGTGAATTCTCCAGACCAGATCCTCAGTGAAACTCCCTAATTAGTTCCAGAAAGTTGTTAGCAAGATATTCCCCCAGCTCTAGCACACATAGAACCACAGCTGAGGCTGCCCAGAAGCCCTTCAGACTGGGAATTTCTCCTCCTGGACAAAAACAGGGCTACCTCAGGCTGACCTGAACTTGTGATGCAAGGGGCATCCCTTTAAAGAGGACTCACAGTTACTAAACCTTGGAACTTTATATGCTGAGTATTATGGTCCTTTCAGAGAAAGCTATTTGATGTTATTATATGTTTATGTAACTGACATCATTGGTACCCCTTGGTAGGGGATACAATGTGAGACCTGTGGAGTGTGGTGGTTTTTGTTGTTTTTATATAGGTCTTTGTCTAGTAAAGGAGTTGTTCATGTGCCTTTGACCGCCAGCCCTATTATTTAATATAGGTATAACACAAAAACCCACTAATCCTGTTGAGTCCATAACTAATCGTTTTAGTCCATTTTAACTTTAGATTAGGAGACAGCCAGACAGATTGGGGTAGAGAGTTCCATAGGATGGGAGAAGCTCGGGAAAAGTCCTGGAAGCAAGCATGGGAGGAGGTGACATGGGAACTAGAGAGCAGAAGGTCTTGCGAGGATCGAGGAGAGCGGTTTGGTTTATAATTTGAGACCAGGTTGGTGATGTAGCTGGGGCACAGTTGTGGATGGCTTTGTAAGTTGTTAGTATTTTGAATTTTATTCATTGGGCGAGTGGAAGCCAGTGCAGGGATTGCCAGAGAGGGGTAGCAGACAGTGAACGGTTGGTAAGGTGAATAAGCCTGGCAGCAGTATTCATAATGGACTGGGGGAGAGGGGGGATAGTCTATCTAAAGGTAAGCCAATGAGGAGGGAGTTGCAGTAGTCGAGGCGAGAGATAACGAGGGAGTGAATTAGGAGCTTTATGGTATCATTGGTTAAAAAAGGGACGTATTCTGGAGATGTTGTGGAGGTTGAGGCGGCATGATTTGGACAGGGATTGGATGTGAGCCTGAAAGGATAGTTCAGAATTCAGGGTTGATAGTGGTGCTATTGATCCTGACCAAGAAATCAGGGGAAGAGGCATGTGGGGGAGGAAATATTATGAGCTCAGTTTTGAATAGATTGAGATTTAGGAAGTGGTGTGACATCCAGTCTGATATGTCTGTTAGTAAATTGGAGATATGTGAAGAAACTGATGGAGTAGAGAGATAGATTTGTGTGTCATCAGCATAGAAATGGTATTGGAAACCATGGGAAGCTATCAGCTGACCCAAGGAAGAAGTGTAGATCGAGAATTGGTGAGGTCCAAGGACAAAACCTTGGGGGACACTGACAGTAAGAAGAATAGGAGAGGAGGAAGTAGAGTTGTAAGTGACACTGAAGGTGTGGTGAGATAGGTAAGATTCGAACCAACGGAGAGTACAGTCACGGAAACCAAGTAAATAGAGTTTTTTGAGGGGGGGGGGGTGGTCAACTGTGTCAAAAGGCAGTGCAGAGGTCTAAGAGTAAGAGTACAGAATAGTGTTCATTGGTTTTTGTAGTTGGTAAGTCATGGGCTGCCAGACAGCAGCAGCTCCTGAACTTCTGGAACCCTGCTCTCCATTGTTTCAAACTATTTATCTACGCCCTTCTGGAAAGTTCCCCATCCAAGGATTGGCTGGAACCTGATAAATATTCAGGCAGGGTGAATTGAACTTCTGCTCTAAGCTCTGGAAGCTTCTTCCAGATGCAAGGGAAAGCAATCAAACTCCCAGCCTGTGAGACCCTGAACAAGCCAGACTAAACAATTACTGCACCTCTAAATACAAAGGAGCCAAAATAAATTTGCCTAGCCACCTTTGCTAAGAGGGTGCTACATCAGTTTGGACCTTTGTAGCAAAACCCTGTGTTGGTCCATTTCTGTAGAACTGCCCCTAGCTTTTAGCAAATTGTTTACTCCTGATTTGTGCCCGCAGCTCAGAAGCCTTGGTAGAAGAGGATTCTATG